AATATTTGTTTGTCCTTTTACTACTAATGATCAAATGTTCTTTTGTTTTCATTGCAGAAATTTAAAAGTGTTCATTATATTTTCTACGTTATTATGTTTAATGAATGAATATATCTTTAACTATTATCTCGTTTAGTAGCAAATTCATTTTTGTTGTAGTATGATGCTAGCAATAATAATTCATACGAATAGATTCTGAATAATGATCAATTGATGAAATTATTGATAAACTTTCAAAAATATGTCAATTAGTAATTGATATAAATTAAATTTTGCTAATAAATTCTTTTTTTCTTTTTGTTTTGAGAATTGAATCAATAAATGTAAATATATTTTAGAGAAAAAAAAAATCATGAACGATCTTATAATAATAATAATATTAATAATAATAATAGAAAAGGATGAGAAGACATCATTAGAATTTTACATTGTTCATCATAAACAAAAAACCTTATATATATGATTATAATATAAACAAAATGAATAAATCTGAAAAGTTTCTCGTCATATTTCTCTATTTTGCCTACATTATTCAGATTAAAATTTCTTAATACATAATTAAAAAATTATATGCGAATATATTACGAAATTTACACGATTGATAAAGCTGTCACAAAATTATATAATTTATGACTATTAATGTTGATGAAGATAATTCTAATAAAATTATTAATTCAAAATGAAAATTGGAGCTTCTTTTTTATGTTTAAATAAGTGCAAAAGTCTTTGATCAAAAAATATATTTTTTTTTTATTTACATAAAATACATCGTAATATGATGCATAATATATTCAAGAACAATACTTGCTATTTATAAATTTTTTGTAGTAGGCTACATTATTTCCTTTTTTTTTTGAATAAAGTTCATCTTTAGAAAAAAAAACAATTAACTTTTCTTTTTTTATATTGTATTTTCTATTTATATTAGAAAGATAATTTACCTTTTGGAAAAATTTTTCTTAATTTACATATGTTTAATTGAAGTTTTTTGTTTTAAAACAATTATTCATAATGAAAAACATAATCACAATATGGAATAAAATTTAAAAAATAAACAGATTTTAATAATCGAATGTTATTGACATATTTTTCTATTTAAATATCTGTCATGTTTATGTGTAGAATTTAATTTCATCATCTAGACAAAGAAAAGAAACTTGAGATCAATAGTCTACATGTTTTAATGAGTTTATTTAACCCTTTGGTTACTAACGACGCATATATGCGTCATGAACTTAACTCTCATTTGAAATGAAACGAATGTCATCACTTATAATGTACATTTATTAGATGTATTTGAATGAATGTCAACGGCAGGCAACCGAAGCTTTCTACATCATTATTTTGTTATGGTTCATGCTAGACTTCTGCGGTAAGAAAACACAAACATGTGTGATTTACAACTACTTTCTATTACGTATGTTTATCTTTTGTTATTAATCAAAAATTTAATAAAATTTTGCATGTTTAAATATTTAAAAATTGTTGACAATGTTCTTAAAATAAAAATACAGATATAATTTAGAATTTAATAAGAAATTTTTTTTTTGCAACTTTGATTTTTTTCCCGTTGTATTTTCAAAACTCAATATTTTCATCATCGATTCATATATGTGTTCCATCTCAAGATAATCTTTACATATTATGATATGAAAAAAAAAAAATAATACTTGGAATTTTTTATTACTATATCCGAGAGATAATGAATACTGTTATATGAATAATGTAGATTAATATGAAAATCTAACTCGCATAAGAAAAATTATGATGACATTAAGATGAAGTCTTCTTCAATCGAGAAGACTCTTCAATAAGATTCGTGCATTTTAAATAAATGAAAATAATTGTAAGTGCTAATTCTTCATGAAATACTCAGTTATGATTGAAAGGAAGTTATTCAACATCACTTTTGGAAAAAAAACAAATCCCTTGTTTTTTTTAATTAATCAAGATTTGATCTCGGTAATGGACGTTTTTAAATAGAAATCTATGATTTTTGAAACTAAAAGGGCATTATAAAAATCTCATAAAAAAAAACAGACATTTCTTTTTACAATCTTTTCTTTTTATTTTTTAATCATATCTGTAATCGTTTTCATACTTGTCATTGCTGATATATAACCAGTGTGGCAGCCTGAAGCAGCCAACATTGGAAGCGTGGGTAGGAGAATCGCAACGCTTTGCAAAGGGAAAGTATCTTTCTTCTAAGATAATGCAAAACAAGAAATTCCAATTCTGCTAGGGAAAAAAACAAAAACATTCACATGGTGGCGGATGTATTACACCTCCGGCACACCCCATCTCGTATTCGAGTCACCACTCTTTAGAGCATAGAGAATTTGTTTTCGATTTTTTTTTTATTTAATTAAATTCTGTTTTTTTTTTCAAATCAAATATTTACTGTGATAGATAAATATGTTTATTATTATAGATTTTAATGTACGTTTTAAGCGTGACTTCTTTTTTTTTTTCTTTTTGATGGAAGTCACATATTTTCACTAGATAATTATGTTAATATGATAGTCATCTAACATAAGATTGGTAATATCTCATTTTTCAAGTATTATATACATCTATATAATTAATAGTTATCATGAACTACTCTTTAGTCATAACGAGGTATGCCACTCATTTAATTTTGTTGTCCTTGATGCATATTTATTATTACAACATATTATTTAATCAAAAAGTAAGATTAGAAAACATTCTTCTGTTATATTAAGATTGAATAGATTTTGATGAATTACTTGGAGAATTAGTCAAGATCGAAATGGATAGAAAGTGTCTATGTTTTCTTTCTATCGATTGGTTGATTATTGATTACTGTTTTTTCTTCTTGACATTTCTATCAATCAATCAAATTGTATTGAAATAGATTAGAAGTACATTGGTTTCTTTATTTTTTCATCTAAACAGATCGTAAAACAGAAATAGAGAAATATACATAATTATTTTCTTTATTTGAATACGGAATAAAAAAAAACTAATAAACATGCATGTAATGTTCTTATCGTGTAATTATAAATTTATTATCAATGTGCATAATACTATGACAAAGAAAGACGAAAGAGTAAATAAGAACGACGGCAAGCATAAGACAAAAGAAAAGGAAATTCAATCAGTTCCGAAAAACGATCTATTCTTCATATCACAATATTTACTATTTTTTTTTATACAAAAGTTAGAAGGAAATTGACACAATATAGGGCATGTGCAGCCATCATTATTGGTAATTACGTATTTGATTGTGGGAATTTCTTTTGTTAATTTTTCTGATTAAAAAGTACGATGAATAAATCGTTCAATACACGTATATGTGATGCTTCTAGAATATTTATTTGACTATCTACATTTTCTTATTATTATTTTTTTTCTTTTTTATTCTTATATAAAGATGGATTTTTATCTTACAGTTGAGTTTTCTTTTCTTTTTTTTTTGTCTTATTAATATTATTATCAATTCATATTGGCATTATTAAATAATAATATTATTAAATCGAATAATGAAGAAAGTATTAATAAAAAATGAATTTTATTCATTTTTAATGAAAAGTTTTTCTTCTTAATTAGTGAGAAAAATATTTCTTTTTTTTTTTATTTTTCAATTTATTTTAAAGTTTGTTGAGGTAGGTAGTATGTTCTTGATAAAAACAAAAAAAAAACATTTACATTTACTATTTAGTTTTAAATAAAAGTAAAAATACAAAAAAAAAAGTTAAATTTTTAGAAAAATATCAAAACACTTCTCATGTTTTTTTTTTCTATTGCTGATTTTTATTTGCTTTCATTTAAACAAATCTTGTAGAATATTCTATTACAATAATTATTATACTTAAAAAATTTAATTTAAAATCAATTAAAATCTACATTTTGCTTTTTAATTATTGATAAATTTATTCATTTCTTTTTGATTTACAAGGAAATGGGCAATCAACTTATGTTGATAATGTATGTATGAGTAATTATGTTTCTATCATACGTAATTTCTATGAAAGTTAAGCATTGTATGATGTTGACCTTTATAATTCTAGTGGAATTCTTTTATTAGTTTTTTAAGGTTGATTCTATTATCCCTAGACTGATATTTACTACCATTAACATTATAGAAATTTAATACTTACATATTCAGTTGGATGATATTATAAACATATCTATTATAAAATGTGATGTTATTAGTTTTTTCTTTTATATTTGTCTACTAGGTATCTAAGATTTCCTTTTTCTGTTATGTAATTTGAAAAACAAAAACGACAAATAATGTCACGTTGATAGGAAAATATGTTGTTAATCGTCTTGTTTTTTCATGAGCTTTTATTTATTAATGCGAAATGATAGGAGTAACATTGCATGTACGAAGAGTCGATATTAACATAGATATATGAATTATTTCATTTTGGATAAGGCTTATTATTTGTTGTTTGGATTTTTTTTTCTCAATCTTCTTAGAAATCTTAATATTAATGATTTCATGAAGACACAGATTCGAAAGATAGATAATAATTTAATGTGACAAGGAATGTGTCAAAGCTAAGAAAAGAATATTATATAAACATCAAATATGTCTGTTTTTTTTTCTTTTTCTTCTTCTTCTTCTTCTTCTACTTTGGCCGAGTTATTAATCTCTGAGATGAAATTTTTTTGCTTTGATTTAATTGAAGAGAAAAAATGGATTTTAGAAATTCTAATAGAACATTTTTTCTTATTGTTTAATATACTTAATATCAAAGTATATGCTGTTTTCATCTTTTAGATCATTATATATAAGTAGTCATAAAATGCGTCATTTAACATATCTTTATAATCAAACTAATTATCTTCAAGAAAAAAGTTTATGTAACTTTATTGTTAATTATAATAATCATCATACATAAAGATCAACTATATTTTATAAAACGAGAGCTTTATTATGATATAAATTCTCTAAGAGCTTTTTGTTTTGTTCTTTTTTTTCTTCAAAGTCATAAAAATTATTATTATTATTATTATTATTATTATTATTTATGGCTAATAATCAATTAGATATTAATTCATTACCTATTTATAAATTATTTTTTGATGATATTGAAGAAATATTTCTTAATACAGTATCATTTCGTGTTCTTAATATATTATTTTTAATAACATGTTTATTTACTATTGGAATATTAGTTCTTCTTTTTTATCGATCACAAGAACTTTTTTTAACTAGTCTTATTCCATTTATATATACGTTAATATTCTATGATTTTATTCAATTATTATCGTTAGTATTATTAAAATATAATGCAACTGAATATTTTCTTAATCAATTATGTCGTTGGCCATATTATTTAAAATCTTCATCGGATGCTGGTCAATGTTTAACAATAATATTTATATTTGCTTTAAGTCGTTATCATATACGATATTTTATAACACATAATAATTTATCTAATACAAGTCATATTCATTCTCGTGCATTAGTATTTGTTTGTTTATTATTTATTGTTTATGATAATAATTGGATAACACATTTAAAAGTTGAAAAAGTACATTTAATAACATTAAATGAAACAAAATATGAAATTAATGTTCAAGAATTACCTATATCATTATATGATATAACAGAAATACAAATGCATTCTCATCAACGTTTTATAACTGATCTTAATAAATATTCACAAGGTTATGAAAAAAATATAATTATACAAAATCAACAAAAAATAACTAAAGATAAATTTATACATAATAATAAAGATGGTTCAATACACGCAATAATTATAAAATTTCCTTCGGATTATTTTCTTAATACAATAAAAAATCGTACAAAAAGAATATTAAAAGATCTTGAAGAACAAGAACAACAAGATATATTAAATCAAACAATAGATGAAAATGAATATAATAATTCATATCGTATTAATCGTTGTACATATGGACAAACAAATTTTTTTTTAACAAACTTTCTTTCATTAATTCATTCAATATGTTATTTTATATTAATATTATATTATTTAATAATTATTTATGCATATAAAATAACAGATACATCAATTAATTATCATAAACAATTTTATGAAAAATCATTTAAATTTCGAAAAAAAAAATCAATCGAACGTCATAAACAATTTATATTATTAACGCATTTAAAACATTTTTTATATATTATTATTTATTTACATACATTGTTTACATTAATTCGTCTTATTTATGTATGTTCATTAACAATAATATTATGTTTTGTTGAAACACCATTTAAATGGTTACCAATAAAAATATTCTTTTATTGTCTTTTTTTAATAAGTTATTTTTCCATTCCATTACGTATGAGTTTATTATTTATTTTTTGTTTTTTAACACAATTTTCAAAATATATACGATCAATAATATTTTATTTATTTCATACTAATTTACGTTTTTCATGGAAATTAGAAAAACCAACAATATGTTTTCGATTACGATTTACACCATATAATATTAATTCAAATCAAAATGAACAAAGAATTAATTCATTAGTACTTGATTTATCATCATCAATGATTGAAGATCAATCAACTATAATACCACAAGATTCAATTGTTATGTATAATGAAAGTAGTGGTAGTTATAATGGTGTAACTACAACTATTCTAACATCACCAAATATATTTGTCAACGAAACAACATCACCTGTATGTGCTATGACTAAACTGTGATTTGTATTCATTCGTTGTTTGTTGTTTCTTTTTGTGAATAAAAAAAAAGAAAATTTCGGTTCATAAAATGAATCATATTTTAGTTGACAAGCCTATAACTACAATTTAGTTAAATTATTCAAAATCTGAATATTCTTATTAAATGTATTTAAAATCAATGTTTATTTGGTTTTTTTTTTCATTTCAAAAAGAAGTTTATTTTAATTAGGAGATATAATATAACTAATAGAAATAAAATTATTTCAAATAATTTAAATGAAAAATTCGATGATTATAATTAGAAAACTATGTAACTATTTACAGTAAATAAAAAAGAAAAGTCGTGATGTTTTGTCAAACTTTTATGAGTACAGAAATATCAATGTCGATTGTCTAATTAACCATCAAAAACGTTAATAATATTTGAAAATTAGATAAATACTGTCTGTCGTCTTCTATAGAATAATTCCGTGATATGATATGTCATTATTTACTAGAGTTCCGATAGCACTGTGACGTTTGTACAATTAATCTGAAGTTCTAAAATAAAAAACAAAAAATATCACTTCGAACAGAAGAGTTATGTGATTGGATATTGAAGTAAAACTTTCTTTAGATTTATTATTAGAAATTAATTTCTTTAAGAATTTCATTTCTAAATGGAAGGTAATCGTTTCTTATTTCATCTTTATTTTTTGATAGTTTACATGAAATCATCAATATTTTTATCATAATAAGATGTCATGATTATCAAAAGGACGATAATACTACTTTACTAATTACTAACAAAAAAAAAGATTAGAAAAACATCATTCACAGTTTACTTATATAAATTGCAGTGGATATGGTATTCATTTTTTATAAATGATAATTTCTCCATTTGACTTCTGTCAAAGCTTTAGAAAAAAATTACTTCTGTTAATTTTACTGAAAAGCTTTTTATTTATATTTGATGCTTTTTAAAAAAGTATTATTAAAGATAAATAGTTTTTTGACACCTGCAAACAATCGTGTCCAGCTTTTTTTTAGAAACTTTGCCATTATAGTTCATCAATTATAGAATATATTAGATAGAAAACTTTCTTGGTTATTAAATGTACTATCTAAACTCGAGATAATTGCTTAATATTGTACAAAAAAAACGATACGTTGTTATTAAACTTTTTTCTAACATCTTACATTGTGTAAGCAATTCTGTCACTGTCGATAGATTGATATATATCGGATAAAGCAATTAGTCTCGAATAATCGTAGGTCAAATGAATTTCTATATAATCTCCAATGATTTTTTGTTTTTAGAGAACTAGTTGGTTTTAATAAAACCATTACTTTTGAAGATGATTGTATGTAAACTCTCTCTATGCAATATTTCAAACTTAGAAAATTTGAATTCTAATCAAGATTGAGATAATCTTTTTTTTTAATTATCAGATTGTGTTTGAAATAGAACATTACTATAATTGTTTTAACATGCGTTTTTGATTGTCAATAATTTGGAGAAGTTATTAATTATTACTTTTCAAATGTTTAATGAAAAGATCGAATCACATTCAACAAACGATCGTTTCTATAGCCTCAAAATGCTTTTGTACGAATTTGAATACTATATGACGATTAGTTTGAATGGTTTCTCATCAGCAATGGCTGATTTTTCAAACCAGACTTGCCGATGATGATAGTCAGTTTAATGTTTTTCTATGATTTATCAAAGGTGACTTTTGCTATTATTTCTAAGATAACGAATTAAAAGAGCAAATTTCTACATTACATTTAGATGTACAGTGAATCAGGAGCGTAATCATCAGTGTCCAATGATAGTCACATAGATAGTTTTTTCAAAGATAGATCGTTGATGAGATTTTATCCAAATGCTTTCATTGTCGAATAATTAGCTTAAGGATCACCATCTATGTATAAGAACGAACTGAGTAGATACAATTCGACGCACATCAATAAAGCAGTTATGTACATGAGTATATCCTTAAGCCTCCCCTCAAAAATCGATGTTGGGCCAGGAACATTCAAATCACATGAAATTTTTAGGACATGTTGGGATTGTAGTGGAACGGCTATGGTAAAATGTTCAATCCTATATTATGACCTTTGAAGAAGATATTCAACAAGCAAGAGTCAAAAATAGCTCATTTGACAACCCAAAAATCTCGGTGGATCTTCATTCTATAGATTTGATTTTTCTTTTGATTGAACGAGCATGTCCAGATGCAGGCAATGACAGATCTCTTCTTTTTAAATTGTTATGTTTTAAGGGGAGATAGTGGATGAAAAGTTCAATGAATCAAAAACCTCTCAAAAAATGGCGCTCTAAGTACAGAAGTATTCTTGTGCTTAACAATAACAAAGCTTATTTTAAAAAAAAGAACTTAGTCATGCTCTGCACCTTAATAAGCTCGTTGAAACGAAAAAAAAAGCTATTGGCTACAATGAAGCTCCTGCGAGAATTTTTGAATGCACGATCAAAAAAAAAAATAAACAGAAAAAATGAAAAAGATTTTGGTATATTTTCTAAAAATAGCATTTTTTCGAGTAGAAGATGACAGAAATCTTTAAAAATTTTTGAAAAGAAAATGCCGAGTAAAAAATTTTGTCATTTATAAAAGATCAGATGACGGGCTATCTTCCCATGTATTTATCTTAATTTCAATCATTCAGAAGAAAAGTAACTTTTTTTTTGAGGTGTAGAACTTAAATTTGTAATGGCATTGGTGTCAATCAACATGATAATAATAAAAAAAATCAAATGCGAAGAATTACTCATACTCATCATCACCTGAATAACAGTCTCCACCAATAGATTTAACATTCAGTATACATTGACCACAATTGACTTATCTATAATAATTCATTGGATGGACCAGTAATTTCGTTTTGTTTTCCATAAATTATAATTATCTGAATCTGCTGCTGCTGCTTAAAATATGGATAAGAACCGTGATTTTGAATTCATTAATTATTTTTATACTATCACTGGTTCAATTGCTATTACTAATTAATTATAATAATGTTTAATTCATGCATATGCCACTAATTGTCAATATGAAGGGTGTAGGTGTCGGTGTGAATAGTAACCACAAAACTAGAATTAGTTTTTCGAGTTTACTAAAGAAACTTGTCAAGTGGCAAATAGCTGTTCATAATATGAGTACTTTAGAAGGCGAACCAGGTTTAGGATGGTATTGGATTTAACTGGAAAATACACGATTTATTCGAACACTGATCAGTTTGGTGATAATTGCATTTTGGCTACACGAATGTGTGACCTGTTTGGTCGAACTTGTTCAGTGGTAGAGTATAAGACCAATAGGAATGAATCGTTGGTCGCTTATGTTCGCCAGCTGTTGCATTGATGAATCTTATTGAACAATGGCTGGTTACAAGTTTTGTTGTAATGATGATTTAATGGTCGCATTGGGAGGATTGGTAAGGTGGATGAACAGATGAGTGTGAATCTAATAAGTATCTGAAATGAAGGAAACTAATGGGTACGCGAGTTTTATTATAGATTTGAAGAATAGTTTTGTTATAATGGAAAGCATAATGAGCACTACTCGAATTCAAAATTGTGGATGAAGAAAAGCAATATAATGATTTAGTCTGTTTTACTTAAGCAAAACATATAGTTTTTAATGAGCGAATGTATTGATGAATTACACAATTTGTTCAGCTCGTTATTTGATATTAAGTAGACGAGCTTCAATAATGTTGCACATTGGACTGGGGAACGGTTGAAGCAATGTTATTGAAACACTTTGATCAGGATGACCAGTATTACAGTCGAATCCAATCGTCCTCATGTGTGCTTCAGCTGTGTTGTTTTGTATTATTCTTCTATTTGAAGTTTGTTTGGTCAACAATAAACAGTTCTTTTTTAGAGTAATTGCTCGTTTGTATGATTTAGCAGTTATTCACCAAAGCTTCTGAACAGAACGGATCTAGAAGAAACAAAAAGAATAAAAATATTGTTGCAAGTATGGTTAAAAACCTGTTCCTCATTTGGATTACATTCATAGAATGATTTGATCTGATTGGCCTCATTAATATCGAAGTTCAGTATGATTTTCTTGTGTTCGAAATAATTCAGGCATTCTTCAAGATGTCTCTTTACGAGAATATTAAGAGCATGATCAATGATATTCATTGATTCGTCATAGATGTTTCATTTTGTTTTACTGCACAAGGAGGACTTTGTTGTAAATGAACCTTCAAGTTCGCCTCTGCTTGTTGTAATTTATTATGGATCAATCTTTGTCGATGTCTTATGTTGTGTTCCGTTCGAGGATAATCCCAGTTAATGAAATTTCGTTTCGTTATTTCTTTAGATGTTTGAGATAACCATCTTACAGTCGGCATTGCTTCATCAGCAACATGTTTCCAATAATCTTCTTCGATTTTTAATTCTGATAAAGTTACAGATGAGTAGAGCACGATGTCGAATAAAATGTAACATTGCAGTATTCGTTAACGACTGTTGAATCACTACATACTGATCAGTAATACTTTTTGATAGTCGATGTATGAATATATTGTCAGGCATTTTTCTATAATTTCATAGGATCCGAATGATGAAGAACCAGCTAGATGTTTAGAAACATATTAAATTATGGAAGGTAAATCGGCTAAAAATTTAATGGATGTACAAAAATACCAATCATTTGATTATTTAACGAAATTTATTGATATAATTACACAGGTCTTTTTTTTTTAATTTTGAATCTTAATTTAAGAAAATATTTTAGGTTAAATCAGTAAATAAAACAGATGCACAAACATTATTATATGGATTTGGTTCATTAGAATCAATATTAAATTCATCTAATGAACAATTATGTGTTTGTCCTAGTTTAGATCAGTTAAAAGATTAAAGATTCTATCAATCATTCAATCAACCATTTAAAAGACAAAAACAAATTAATAAAAAAAGATAAAAAATTCTGAAGAAAAAAATTTAGGTGATGAACAATTTGATATTGATGAAGAGATTTAAATGAACAAAAGAAAACAGAAACAATTTTCTTTTTTTGTTTTTTATTCTAAATGAAAATTGGTGATCATATATTAGTTGATGGAAAATGTTCAGCAGTAATTCGTTATATTGGTTCAGTTGATGGTCATCCAGGGAAATCGATTGATATTCAATGGTGAAATCAACAAGGAAAACATAATGGGACATTTAATGGAAAATTTTATTTTCAAACTAAACATCAACATTGAGGATATTCTATTCGACAAGAAAGAATTCATTTAGAATATTAATTTACTCCACCTATTTATAGACAATATCTTAAATCATTTTCAAATGATAATATTACCAAAGATATTAATTATTTCTATGTTTGATTTCTATTTTAGATTATCATTGAATATCAGTAGAAATTATTTTTTCTATGATCATAGATAAGTTTATTTTTTTATGGAAACCTGGAGCAAATTAAGGATTGAAAATAAAATTTTTCCAGGAATGTAGTGCTATAACTTCAAAGAGAATAAACAATAAATTTTACAATAAGAGTTATGAAGACTTGCTTATGTCAAACTGTGGTAAATTTTAGAATTTACCACCTATAGATACGGAAAAAATTCTTCTATGAGATAAAACACACAGTAGATTGGATATAATCTCGACCAGTTGTCACATTGATTATTCTCTTACACAAGTCTTTGCCGTATTTATAGTAGTGGCGGAGCCAGGGTGGGGCTGGGGGGGGCTCAGCCCCTCCCAGGAAAATTTTTACACCATGTATTTTATTTGCTAACCGGGGCTCAAAGGTCCCTCAGAGGCGGTTGAGCCCCTCCCAGCTCAAAATCCTGGCTCCGCCACTAATTTATAGGTGATCAGTTACAGAAATTTCCAAACGTTCGACATACCAAAGTCTTGAGAACTTCTATTATAAGTTTTTTCTTTGATGATTCAAATGAGAATAGTTTTTATTTTGGATTAACTTTTTGTTCAATGCTCTGTAGTATCTCTTCCAAATGAGAGATCGAAATTTCCAATGAAACTTGAGTCCAAATCAAAAGTACAGTGAAAAGTTAGGGCGAGTCAGATTGAATTATTTTCTTGTTTCAACAAGAGTTTGAGCCGAAGTTCCTTTAGCCTTTTTAAACAAACTTCGGTCATTATTAGATTTTTATCAATCGATACTTTCTCTTAATGATAAAAAAAACCCTTTTGCATTCTCATAGTAAATTCTAAAATAAATAAAATGATTAATTAAATCGATATTTTCACAAGTAAGTGTTTTTTTTTCTTCTAATAAGAAAAGAATATAGTGATTATGTAATTGATTTATCGTCAATCATTCGAATAGATTTATCATCACAATGGATAAATGAATTTGATGATAACGATGAAATCTATAATAATCTTCATCAAATAGAAGAACTAAATATACGTCAAAATTTTCTTAAAAATTGGTCTCATAATTATGAATAATATTAGAAAAATATTTTCTAAAATTCGAAATATTAAATGTAAGGAAATGACGAATTAATTTTGATAGATATCCATTAAATGAATTTAATCATATAAAACAATTAGTTGTTATTGATACAGATAATGATTGTAATATATTTGAAAATTTAATTAATATTCATTTTGATTTAAATCGTTTAAGATTAATATCGGAAAAATTTCTTAATTAAATAAAAAATTTAACAAATTTATCATTTAATGATAATCCAACATTAAAATCTTCGGATCTATTTATTAATCGTTAAGAAAAACTTAAATATCTTAAAGAATTAATTCTTAATAATTGTGCAATTGATCAAATTAAATTATTAAATCAAGGTTTGTTTTATTGTGAATATTTTAATAAATATTTTTTTTTCGTTATTATTTAAGATGGATCAAATGAATTATTTCCTTCATTAAAATATCTTTATTAATATCATTTAGTATTCTACGAAATCCAATTTATCCATTAAATCAAACTGAAATAGAAACAGATAAACAAATAATAATTTCACATTTATCAAATTTAGGGTGTGGGTGTAGGTGTGGGGTGGTGTGGGATGTGGGTGTGAGTGTGGGTGCCGCTGTCGGAGTGCACTATTTCTCTTTAGCCACACCCCACACCCACCCACACACGCATACCCGAGATAATACAAAAATGTAATGTTGAGCTTTCATTCGTTCGCGAAAAGCCTGCACAATTTGAATATTTAGTTCAGTTCGATTCATATTCAATTTATCTCTGGTTAATTGCTCCAGCAAATAAGTAATTCGAAACTTGCCTATAACAAACATGCTGATAATAATCTTCTGTCAATCCTTAATGACCAAATAATGAGAAACAATTTGTAGCTTACAGAACTCGAGACTGAACAATATGATAATCAAAATTTCTACTTTTCCACTATCTATTCAACTAACAACTCCATTTCTAACTAGTTTGTATTACTGCTCAGCAACTAGATCGAGTGCTTGGCACTCGGCCTGGCCCGAAATATGAGTCCGGGTCCAGGACATGAAAAAAACATATCGGTTCTAGGCTCGGATATGAGATCATACTAATATAGGACTGCAAATCAATTTGACCATGATTGAGTAATTTATTTTACTTGAGAATAGGTCGCAGAAGTGGAAAGGGATATTGTTTTACTCAAAGAATTCGTTTTTAATGAAAATTCATCTACAGATGATGATGACCCATATAATGAAGTAACTGAATATATGGAGAGAAAAATAAACAATCGAAAAAGATGAACATGTATTATCTTGATGAAAAAAAGCGTTCATGTATATATCCACAATTATGACGTTTGACACTAACACTACATTTCATTCCACGATGAGCAGCAATAAGCTAACGTGTACTTAGTGAAATTGATCAGCTTTTAGAAGCATAAAGACATCAAGTGAATCTTGTACCCCTTACCTTTTTTTGTGTAATTTGAGATGATCTCGTTCTTTTTTTCTTGTTGTTTATGAAAGAAGCTAAATAGTATATACTTTTCCATATAAAATAAAAGTTTTAATATCATACTGTGACTGTTAAAGTATCTGCATAATGTCGATTAGCTTGAATCGGATGCCGGAAATCCGGTTGTCAAAAGCCGTATTCGTACAGAACACTACATATATAGAGATTCATATAATCTTTTCTGCTTATTTGATGATTCTGGTAGCATTAAAAAGGATTTTAAATATATCCATTTTTGCAAGATCACTACAAATAAACCCAACCTATAATACATTTATTATTTTAAAGTATATATATGTACACAAAATGCCAAATAATAACAATGATCACTCATGTTTCAAACAAACAAACAAAAATGCGCCCTCAAACATAAAAGAACATGAAGGAAAGAAAAGAGAGAAGGAAAGAAAAATTTCGTAAATTGTTATTCAGAATGAGAAATTATCACCATAAAAACAAAACAATAATGATGGTACGTGATGGTATCAAAAAAAAAAAAAAGAAAAGAAAAGAAACAGAATAGATGTCATTTTAAATAAAAAAAAAACACAAAGACAATACAGTATAATTTTTAAACAGAAAAGAAAAAAAAGAAAATTGATTATGAGATTGTTTATGAGAATTATATTCATTTATTTAACTGTTGTTGTTACTTTTTTTTGTCCACCTGTTGTTGTTTTTTTCATTACATTTACTTGAGATGTTGGAACAACAACTGATTTTTGTTGTTGTTGTTGTTGTTGTGACTGAGGATATTTTTCTTAAAAAATAAAGAGAAAAATTTTTATCAAATTATAATGTTTTCGAACGTTTTATTATTATTATTATTATTAATAATAAATTACTCTTTTTTAATGCTTGAATACGTCGAGGATTTTTAACACAACCATCAACACCCATTAAATGATCACGCCATGGTTTATCACCTTCAGGTACATTCATATGACATAATGGACAACGATTTGTATTTGATTTTATTTCATGACATTCTTTAAGTTTAATATGAACATCAAAATCATGTCCAATTGCTTCTGTACATCGTGGACATTGTTGATATTTTCCTTTCTTTCCACATTCACGTAATAAATGTTCTATATAAATTCCGATTTCTACTACCTACAAAAAAAAATAAATAAATAAAATTAAGAACAAACAAAAAAAGATATACTTGATTGCATTCTTGACATCTTCGTAACATTGGACAATGAGCCCAATAATGTTGTTCAAGACCATCGCGTGCAAAATCTTCATTTTTTTCACCACAAAAAATACATGTACTAAACAAAGATACATATATTTAGTATATTATCGAAAGAGACAGAGATATTAATCATTTTGATATAAATTTAAAATGCTTAGAATTTTCTATAGATTGGTAGATAATAGAAAAAAATATTATTATAGGCAGCGAAACATTTTGAATCTTTATAAGATCCTCACGGGAGCATTATGAATACGAAGGATAAGGGCGAATTTTTTTGTGCCATTGAGATAAAATATAGTTAGTGCTTCTCATTTCCAACTTACATTTTACACTGTATGGAACCGGTACGACTCAGAAAAAAATCGAATCTTGTATTAAAAAACACGGGTACTTAAGGATAACCTTTCTCCTCTTTCATGACTCAGAATTTTTGAATAGAAAAATTGAAATTTTCTCCCAGACCCTTCAACCGATTGAGCTGAAATTTTTTGTATGATAGCTAGAATCAAAGCGGGAGGTGGATATGACTGTCATTTTTGACTCTATATCTCATAGAAAGAAGAATTCGGCCAAATTCTGAGTGTATGACAACTATTGCTCTACTAGTCGAAATCTATCTTCCCTAAAAGTTTCAGAATCTTTAGTCGAGCCATTCGTGAGAAACGCGGGAAAGGGGCATGTCCTTAAAGACAAACAGCACCATTAACTTTTATTTAATTTCAATTTTCGGAAGGAGAGTTTTCGGTCTATTTCACTGAAAAAAAGTCAGAATAATAAATACCGAAGAAAATGTTTGGTAGATTTTAGTTTATCTATTTGTTTATGTTAATAGACAATAATTTTGAGAATAATATTAGTGATTTTACAGCAGTATAGAAACATTATTATTTGATTTTTATATAGGATGAAAACTTTTGATTTTATTTTTGTATAGGAATTCTAATATGTTGTCATCTTATTAGCTAAATTTGATTCGAACATTATCTAATGAAATCTATTTAATACAATTTTTTTTTTCTAACATACTTTTCTGGAGTAAATTCAGATTCATCAGCAACACTGGTTGTTGGTGTTTTTCGATCGAGTCGTGTTGGTGTTCGAGATTTACTAGTTGATCCTTTTGCATCAAACTAAGTCAAACAAAAACAAAACAAACAAATTGTTTTTTTTTCTAAAAATCGTTTGCTTTTTTGTTTTTTTTACAGATTTTTGTTGTTCACGTGCTGTATGTTGTTGTTTTAAAATATCACGTTTTCCTGCATCTGATGTTCCACCTTGTTTTCTTCCAGTTTCAGATGGATCACTAGTTGATGCCTAAAAAAAGAAAAATAAATATTTAATAAAGAAAAAAAAAATTTATTTAGAAAAAAAACAAAAATACTTTTTCATCTCCTTTAACTGATCGTCCATCCATTCGATCAAATGCATCAAACATATCACGATATTTTTTTATTCGACGTGTTTGATCATTATCAGGTGGAAGATAACGTTTTACAATTGATCCATGTGTCTATATTTAAAATAAATATTTATTTCAAATAAAAATTCTTTATTTTGATTATACTTTATATAAACTAAGTAAAATTTTCATAGCCAATTCTCGTACTTCACCGGCTATAAAAAGACAACATGGATAAAATATTAAATTATAAATATCATTAAGAAATTACCATTATGTTCAAATGCTTGTGCACAAAATTTACTAACATTATCAACATTTAAACCATTTTCACCTGTTTTAACATCAAGAATTTTCATTAATTCTTCAATAAGTTCACATCGACTTATAGCTAATCTTGGTGCACATGTTTTATTAAATGGTAATACACAATAATGTGTTATTATATGTAAAGGTTTTAATTCTGGATATGATGCAGATTCAATAATAGCTTCTTGTGCTCGTTGTCTTAAACGTGCATTTGAATCACCTGTACGTTGTAATAATACAGGTAAAACACGTTCTAAACTAGCTATAATATCTTGTTTTTGTATTGAATGTCGTCGAACATAATCATTCATTAATAAATGAAAAATTTTAAGTGAATGTGAAAATGTTGCAAGAACATCAAAACGAAACATTCGTGCTAGAACAAAACTACCAGCACGTAAATGTGCACGAGCATCTTCTTGATCACCAGAAAATGTATTTAATATTTGATAGATTTCATCTAAAGCTTCTTCACGTCGTGCATGATTTCGATGATAAAGTTTACCAATCTTTAACAAAAAATAAAAAATTGTTCATTAATAATTTTTATTTTTCTAGAAAATCTAAAAGACTTCTCGTATAACAATAAATATTAAACAAAGTTATATTAAACTATCAGTTAGATATTACATGAAATAATGCTTATTAATTATTGAGACATATGAATTAGGAACATACAGTTTTAGCTTACTGACTATCGACTCATGAGGGAACCTCTTCAGCTGTCATCTTTCAATTTCAATAATACTACATAGTATTTTAACTCTTATTTTCGAATTTTGATCTGAAACTTTGTGCATATAGAAAACTCAACTAGAGTAACTTCCATAAAAAAAATTCAGAAGTTTTGAACAAAGTCTTTTCGATATATGAAATTTTCAAAAAATTCATGTTTTATATATTATACCTAGAAATGAGTTTATATCTCGAAGAGACTTTATTGAAAACTTGTGAGTTTTTTTTTTTATGGAAGTTAGTCTAGTTGAGTTCTCTGTGCGAGTAGAGTTTCAGATCAAAATTTCGAAAATACAAGTTTTTCAAGAATTTGGGACTTCTAGAAAATAGACATATTACAAACCCGATAGATTGCTCAAATCGTGTTAGAGATTTTATCAGATCATCATGTAGTATCTACAGGCAAAAAAAATCATTGAAATTGTAAGGGAGCAGTTGAAGAAGTTCTCTCGTCAGTGTAGTTAGGTCACACTAACCTCAACGGGCATCTGTATTGACTGAAGCATTAGAATATACCACTACACAACAAGGACATATTCTGATAGATTTGATGTCTCAATGTTGTAGCGAACTCGGATATCATTGTAATCAGTGCCTGAGTGGATGCTGTATCGGTGATTCGTTGCCAATAGTTACACCTATACTGCATATCTCTAATTTGAATACATAAATTTTCTTATCGATCACAAATCTTAAGCCTTTTTTTATTTTATGGTAACTTTATGACAGAAGAAATGTTCTCTCCTATGAATATTAATTTTAATATCAGACATTGTTAAAAGAATCTTGTAAGTTCAGGATTATTCACCCATTGGATAGGCTTTGAATGTAATTATTCAATTGCCTTCTGATCTATATCTATATATATATATATCAATAAGTCTAGTTAGAAGGTTAGTTGAATGCAGAATTTCTTGATCTCTGAAATCATACATTATTAACTACATATAAATTTAAAATGCATATTTTTAATATAATTTATCCTAAATCATATTTGTTAATATCTATCGCATACAACGAAACTGTCTAATACCTCTCTAAGAAATAAATTCTTATGTATATTAAAAATAACTAACGTGAGAAAATTAAAATTAATAAAAATTTTCAATATATTATCAAATTCTTACCAATTGCTTATCAAAAACAATCATCATTTGATTAGCTTCAATCATTTCTGCTTGATTTAATTCTGCAGTTGCATCATCATTCGATGTATTATTTATTCCACCATATATACTTTCAGTTTCTTCATTATTCGTTCCTCCAGCATCATTACTTACCATTAACGAATTTTGTACATTTCCTGCATCGACACGATTTCGATTTCGTAATGTTGGAATAACTTTATCTTCATATGGAGTACGTGGTTTTGGAAATTCTGGTGATATATAACCACCACCACCACCGCCGCCGCTACCTCCTCCAGTTCCTATAACACTGGTTCGGCGTGTTGCATTCGTAGCAGTAGGTATTGGTGATACTGATGAGTCATGGAAAGTTGGTGGTGCATAAGAAACTGTTGATTCTGGTGAACGATGAGTTTGAACTGGATTACGAGTACGTCCTTAATTAAATAATTAATTATATATAAAAAATAATAATAATAATAAAATTTAAATGAAATTACCATGATTTTGTTGTTTTAATGGACGAGGAGACTAAAAGAAAAAAATAAAATAAAATATTGAATTAAAATTATTTGTTTTTTTTTTCTTTTTGTTAAAGTAAGCTAAACAAGCACAGAAGTATTATTGATTAAATGAATAATTCTTATGATATAATTACGAAATGTAGAAGTGCAATCAAACAATATATAACGAATTCGCTAGAATAAATATCCTTCTAAGTATTTTCTCAGCATCAGGACCAACATTCATCGTTATGTTTTAATTATTTTTTAAAAACATTTACAATTCAATCCTTTACAAGAACATATAAGTTTTGCTACCAAAAATGTTAAGCGGAAAAAGTTAGACAGTCTGTTGAGGTCTATTCATTGAAGTTTTATATTACCCATAAATAATTGATAGCAATCTTGTAATACTTGAAAAGCTTGATCTATTGACCGTGCTATTAAAATTTTTGTATGAGTATCTGTCATGTAATTTCGAGAAGTTCTTAGAAAAAATTTTATAAGTCATTATAACTCACGAGGAAATTACAAGAATTAATACTCATCACTTAAGCTTATATTGGACCTTCAAGGATGCTTTGATGAGACTAGCAAAAGTCTATAATGAGTTCGTCCTCATGACCTTTCGGAGGCTAGTTATGATATCAAGATATTGAATTTTCAAATAAACTTGATTACTGTATCATGTCTATGACAAGCTAATATTTTTTTGGAAATTCAATATCTCAATAAAAGAATATTCTTTTCGACTGAAACTTCCAGGTAAAAAGATCATAACTCCGTTCATAACGACGAATCCTTTTAAACTTTTTTCTAGTTTTACCAAGACGTCCGTATAAGCCCAATATAAGGTTAAGTAACGAGTATCAATTTTATTTCAATTTCAAGAGAAATGAATGATGCATCAAACTGAAATCATAGAATTTCAAAAGGACTACGCAACATGAGCAAAATTTATGTGCTTTCGGGTCAATGTAATGTTAGCGGCCAACTACCTAATTGAAACGAACTGCACTGTACATCATGAGAAAAAGCACATTTAGTTATACACCTTAACCTATTCCATCATGTTATCATATTTGTACAAAACTAGAAAAAAAAATGCTGAACTATTTTTGAAAAAAAAAAAGTAAATTTTAAAAATTCGACATTTTAGAGTTTCATATTATTATTTATCTACTTAATAATCTTGATAGCAAAACTTGTAATATGTTCTTGTAGATATTTGAATCGTAAGTCCTTCGAAAAAAAAAATTCAGGCATGCTAATGATACTGAGAAAATACTTTATTCTAGCACATTCGTTATATATATATGTAATACATTGAAATATGTCTACCTCTTGATTAAAATTATCTTGTTGTTGTTCATTATTTTCAATTTCCTGTAAACGTTTTAGAAATTCAGTTCCTTCACCACCTTCCTATGATGAATATTTATATTATTTCAAGAAATGAATCATCCGTAGAATAAGAAAAATTTCATATTTTTTTCCTTTTACTTACAATAACAACATCGAGTAAATTAAGTACTTGAAGTTGTTTATATGTTTCAGTACGATAAAGTTCCATTTTATCTTTTTTTGATTGTGCTGTTTCATAATCTTCATTCTAAGAAAGACAGAAAAAATATTTTTTTTTTTGTTGTTATATGGTTTCATATTATCATAAATCGACAAAAATTTGTAGCATACTTCAATAGCTTGTCGTTTTTCAACTTCATAACGAGCAAGTCGTTCGCCAATCTAAATTGAATTTTTTTTTTTGTTATCGATTTAATCAAAATCATCAATGAATAAATAAAAATTTTTTTTACAAACTTTTATTAATTCTTGAATAGCTTGTTTAAATTTTCGAGCTTGATCAAATTTTTCATCTAGATATTAAGAAGAGAATTATTTAAAAAAAAAAAATCATGAAATTTTTCCACCATGAACACATTCTTGTTTTTTACGATCTAAATTTTTTATAATCGCTGCTATTTCAGGATCTTGATACATTGCAAATGCGAGATCATCTATTATTGAGATTTGATCCGATCTTGAACTATATTTAAAAAAAAATAAAAGAATAAGAATTGTTTGTTCTTTCTAAATACAAAAACAAAAAAATAGTTGAATGATTTACCTATTTGCAATTGCGTCTGACTGAGTTTCAACATTTTCATGGGACTATAAACATACATCGATTAGATTCAATATAGAAAATTCTTTTTGTATTTTTTTACTTTATCAATATCATCACCGAGTAAATTGATTGCAACAATGCTTACCTAAAAATAATACATATTTAATTATTATTTTCATTTTTACAAATTTAATATTACTTGATTATATATATTCAATCGATTAACATAATTTTTATGTATAACTAATTTTAAAAATATTCCTTCAGAATCAATATGTATTGATTTAAGTTCTCGAGCTTTAAAATCTGTTCGTTCATTAGTTGATAATTCAATATATCTTTAAAAAAAAAGAAAAAAAAAGGATTTCTCATTCAGAAAAAAAAAAAAAAATTTTATATGTTACCCAAGACGAGTATAACGTGCATTTTCAAGTGTTATACTATCATCCGTTGTACAATCTCCAATAAAAAATTCAATTTTTGATGCTAAAAGAAAAAAGAAAGCAAAATTTCAACAAAGAATTTGTTTGTAATGAAAATTTTTTATTTTTACCAATTAAATATTGATGAGAAAGTAATTGTATACGTCGAAGTCGTACATAATTTTCGAATTGTAAAATAAGTTCTTGTGGATATGAACTAAATCGAGAACTTTGCCAACCATTAACTAATGGCCCATGATGATTTAATTCACTAGCTGGATGTTGTTCATCGGAACTTGACGAATAAACAATTTGAAAATTTATTTTTCTTGGCATTCTGTTTTTTTCCTTCTTTTTTTTTTAATATTTCTGACCTTATTTTTATTGTTTATTCTTTTCAATCTTAAAATAAATCTTCTATTCAAATGCGCTTGGACATTATTCATATGAAATAAAATTTTTTTTCTTAGTTATATCCTCCAAAAAAAATTCTATTAATAATTCAATAAAAGATGTCAGTATTTTATATTCTTATTCGTTCAAAAGAGGTCCTTTGTTCGTTTGCGGGTAATTCAAAGGCCACATTTTTTTTTAATCCCTTTTGTTCTATTCATTTTTGTAAGCATGACTGAAAGTTCTGCTACATCAAATTTTGATAATTATATTGTCGAAATACATGATAATCTTGATCGTTTACGTGAAATACCTGGTGTTGATGAACAATGTTCAGTACTTATTGGTGATCTTGCTCAAGCTTATTCTGAGCATCCATCACCAATGCAAACAGGTAGAATGAAAAAAAAAAAGAATTTTTATAAAATAAAATTAATTTCTTATTGTTTTTTTTTTCTAAATTTAAGCAATGTGTTTATCAGCATTATTTTCTGGACAAAAAAATATTTTAACATTTCTTCGACGTGCAAGTTCAAAAATTGAAGTAAAAAAGAATTTTATTTTGTTTTTAAATAATTCTTCTATTTGTTTGTATTAGTTAAAAAAGACTAAAATTGAAATTTTACAATTTTTAAAATTTTTTGTTGAAACTGCAGCAAATAAAATTTTACCATATGCTGTTGAACTTAAAACAGTTCTATTAATTATATTTAATGTTGATAGTGCATCGGATGTACGAGCAGCTATTTTTCCAATTTTATCACAAGTAAGAAAAAAAAAACAATTTTTTTTTCGGTGCTTTTTTGTTGAATCATATGAATTTTAGTTAATGGAATTAAGTGCTGGTTTTCCTGATATGGAAAGTGAAATTGATAAAATGGCTACAACATTTCTTGATCAAATTGGTTTACAAGGTTCAAAAACAACAGCAACAAGTAAATGAAATTATTTTGATAAGAAAGAAAGAAAAATTTCTTTTGTTTTTTTTTAGTCAAAGGACTTTCTTTGGCATTTTTGGGTTTATTATGTAAATGTTTTCCAGAACATATGCGAAAATATTCAGATCCACTTTTACTTGGACAAATTTTAAAATATTTACATGAACATGTATGTAATAAATTATGTATTAAGAACAACAAAATTATCTTCATTGGTTTTTGTTTTTATATGTTTAGCTCGTTCGAGATGTTGTTAAATTTGAAATGTTAATTGCTGCTGGTGCTATGGAAGGTCTTATTTATTATCTTGTTAATTTTGTTCCATCATCAATTCCAGGTAAAATTAAGAAACAAAAAAAAGAAAGTTATAAATCTAATTTTAATTTTCATAGTTCAACAATCAACATTAAATCGAAATAAAACAAAAGAAGATGAAAAACGTATAAAAGAAGAACAAATACGATGTGAATCAGATTTAAAACGTGTTTATATATATGCATCACGTGCTATACAAACACAAGATCAAACTAATTTAAATCGATACGCATTGGTTAAAGGTAGCAAATAAAAAATTTTATTTTTTTGAATAATAAAACTATTTTTTTTTAATATTTTAGCTGGTCTTGAATTATTTGCTCAACATTCAACTTTATTTACTGAATATCTTTATGATGATTATCCTGAAATACTTCGTTGTCTACGTGCATGGAATGCACATGATAATTATGATGTCAAAAAAATTGCTCAACGTGCATATGATACTTTTTTACTTGGAGTAAAATTTTTTACATAAGAAATATTTTCTTTTTCTAATTAGTGTTTTTTTTAATTTTAGGTTGCTAATGCTTTAAAAGAATCGAATGTTAAAACACCAGAACAACGTCGTCGTGCTGTATATACATTTCAATATTTTATTAAAGAATTTCGAGATAAAATTGATTCACCTGAATTAGAAATTCGTGATTTAGCTATGGGTATTCGTGGTTATGGAATTTTTGCAAATGTAAGATTTAAGAAAATTTTTTTTTTCTAGACTTTCATTAGATGTTGATGAACTTTATGAAGAAATCACAAAAAAAATTCAGATTTGAACTGTCTCAAACGAATTTTTTCCTTGTCTAAATCTAAAATTTTGTAAACTATTTCTTAAATAAAGCTGTGAAGAAAACTTTTGTATTATAATCGATCAAGTCTATTCGCTCGAAATTAACTACTAGCTGTAAAAATGTACGAGATTGCATTTACACAATCAACTTCATATGTATGAAAAAGAATAGTTTTCCATATGAAATATCTAGATATGGAACCAGGATCAACACTTTTTTTTATTGAGAATGATATTTTTTATGATCGTACAAATGTCATACTCTCACAACTCATACGTTGTAAAAGTTCATGCGGAAATTAATGAATATCGATAATAATATTAATCCTTACAGAATTGTCGAACATATAAACGTGCACAATAGACGAAATGTTAATGAATTAAGAAAAACTAATAGATTACTTGTGTTTTTTTTTTATATAGGCTTGTAAACTTTATGGTACAGAAGATGATGTTAAATTTATGTTTGTTGGTTTAATTCAACGATGTGAACAAATAGCTATGCCAACAATAACATTATCTCAAGCAAGTGATGTATTTGATGAACGTTTTTATGCATTACCAAATTTACTCGATGCACTTTCTGCAATTATTATTGAAATGACAAATGTAAAATAAATAAAACAAAAATCATTAATCTTGATAGAAATAAAAATATTTTATTTAGATTGGTGAAGAATTTCTTGGTCCACTTGAACGTTTAACTGTAATGACAATTGATTATTATCCACGTTATCAACCAAAACCACAAGCAACAACATGTTCATCTGTTATTAAAATGATTTTAGCTTTACAAACAAAACCAACATCTTATAAACCATTTTTAACACGAATTGGTTTATTTTTTTTTTAAATATTATTATTATTATTATTATTATTCTATTTTTATTAGTTAGTCAAGCAATAATACGTTGTTGTTCACATCCATTAAAATCAACAGTTGAACAACAAATAGAAAATATTGAACCAGATGTATCAGACGAACAAGCTAAATCTTTATTAGCTATTGGAAAAACAATAACTTATGAAAATTATATACCATTATGGAAAACAATTTTAAATGTAACATCATTAAAAGAATTTGATACAAGTACATATCCAATATTTGATCGACAAAATATGCTTGTTTCATTATATGATGAAATGATTGACTCAATATTACATATTATTGATCGACTTGATTTAAGTGTTGATAAAGAAAAAACAGAAGTAAATCAAAAGAAAATTTTGATTTGTTGTTTTTTATTTGAAATTTAATTTAGGATGAAAATGATGATGGTACAACAACAACGGATCCAGTTTTTGGAATGAGACCTGTTAAACCAAAAGATTTTGAAATATTTTATAATCTTGTCGATTTTTGTCAGTAAGAATAACAAATTGTTTCCAAGATATTCGACCAAAGAAAAAATAAACACTTCACTGAGATCTCTTTTGTGTTCGGATCGAACTATACTGTCAAAAGGTTTACAGTTATGTCCAATGATCAGAAAATATTCTCTATCCATGAAGGGCTGCCATGACTGAGTAACTACATTGTTCAAATCTCGGTTTCACTAGCCATGGAATGACCCTGACCAAATCACTACCGACTGTTTGTCTGCTGAGTACATTGTGGCATATACCTGTACCCTTGGTTACTGTGTATGAGACTACTTTATAGGAAAATAGCAATATGAAATGCAAATCAATTCTAAAATTAATAATTTATTGTTCTTCTTTTTCTTTTATCATAGAGATTTATTACCTGAACAATCACCAGATTTATTTCAAAAATGGATATTTCGATTTTTATATGAAATTATTACTGCTTCAACAAAGTAATTCAAAAAATATGCATATCATATAAATTTTTTGAATTAATATTTTCCTATAGATATCCATTAGTTAGTGGAATGTATCGATTTGTTACATTAGTTATGAATATATGTTTAAAATTAAATTTTTTCAAAGTATGTAAAACAAAAAGAAATCTTTTCTTTTTTGTTTTTTTTTTTTTTATAAATTTTATTTCTTTCAAAATAGTCTGATCGAATAATACCAACAACTCGTGGTGGTATTGAAATGATGGATATAGATATAAATGAAAATGAACAAGTTTTATCAGTTTGTACATTAGTTCGACGTTTTGCACATGAAGTATTATCACGTCAAAAACAATATCGTGATGATTTACTTATATCATGTTTACAATTTCTTATATCATTACCATCTGAATGTATTGATTATGATTTTGCTGATTATGTACCAGCTATTCAAGTATTTCTATAGGCAATTTAAATATGAATTCTAATATTACTTCTTTTTTCTTTTTTGTTTTCAGCTTGCTTTAAGTATTGGTTTAACTTATTTACCATTAGCTGAACAAACAATAAATAGTCTTGAACGATGGTCACAATCAACAGCATTAAATTTATCGAATTTTTATGATCAAATATTACCTTATTTAGATGATTTTCTACGTTTATCTCATGATCAAGGTAAATTAAAAAGAATGAAGAATATATATCGAAGTCTTATATAAAAATTATTAAATATTTTAGGTGAAGATGTTAATGTTCGTGCTATAATATCATCTCTACAAGAAAAAACACGTTTGAATTCTAAAACTAAACATGTCTTACCAACAAGAATGCTTAAAAAAGCAAAACAAATTAAACATGTATATTTTCTTTTTTTTTTAAAACAAAATTTTTATATTAAATTTTATATAAGTATTTATTATCGGCAAACTGTTGTTAATAGTAGACAATAGAATTAATTGATGAAGAAATACTTCAACTCACATAAATTCATATATAGACATAACATGACTGGATGAGGAAAAGGTTGCTCAGATAATCCGACTCTTACCTGATGTAGCGTCGATCATCAGTGGAGGACTCAGCTTCCCCATCCTCGCACTTGGTTCCACCACTATGATATGAATGACGAGAATATCCACACACTCGTGTTAAATCAACATAGAAAGCTTTCAACCAGTTGAAAATTATTGATTCTCGATCAGTGTATACCAATTTTGTGTTCCTGTATTCTAAAGTCACCAAAAAAGAAATGCATGAAGTATTACTGTTAGCATATATTTTACCTATCTCGTATAAATTCTTCGTATGATCGAAAATCAAGAGTTCACAATTGATGTGTAGTTGAATCTTCTGGAATTCTACATGTATAGGTAGCAATGGTTCAAGAATTTCTTTTTGTTATAAATGGATTTAAGTAACAACTGCCGGTTTTTTTTCAAGGAAGCATTTTTCTTTGATTTCGTGGAGATTGAATTACTTCTGCTTGAAATGGAACAATGTCCCTGTTTTGGGGAATATGGTCGAATAGGGAGCTGCGGATCCTTCCCGACGCAACTTGGACTCGGGTACAGATCCGCAAAAACATGGATTCACAGTTCTCTATCGTTCAGCCTTCATAGATATAGCATCTACTGTTAAGGAAGCAAAGGTTTTCATTTGAGTAATATTCTAGTGAATGATTTCTGCCAGAAAATTCAGGGAAATAGTAGGAATCCGGTCGCCGGATTTTTCTGGTTTCTGTTAGAATCGACGCTTATTTCTTCATCTTGGATAAGAAAAACACAATCTATTTTATCTGTTCTATGAATACACATACTGTTAAAGTCTATAGTTTGGTTTACACTTTGTTACATTAATAGATTGAAGTACTATGAAATCTGATTTTAATAAAAATAAGTTTACCTTTTGTTCTGTTTGAAATAGCTTTTCGAAGATAGTGATATTCGCCGAGTTCAATTTCGTATTTTAAAATATCTTGGTTCAATAGGCAATCGTACAAATCATTATCTTATTGATAATACTTCAAATTATTTAATCAAAGAAGCTGTAGCATGGGATAATGAAAATCATTTAACATTTAATGTTCCATTTGATGATATTAAACCAACAATACATCTTGGTAACAAAAAAAAATTCATTTTTACTTAATCAATCTTTATTTTCTTTTTTTTCAAGATTTCATTTTTTTTTCAATTTAGATACTTTTCTACCTCGTATTATCGATTTAGCATTACATAGTAGTGATCGTCAAACAAAAATAACAGCTTGTGAATTACTTCAATCAATAATGCTTTATATGATTGGAAAAAGTGCAAATAATCGAAGCAATGCAGCAGTTTGTTTTTTTTTTTGTTTTATTTTATAATCCATAATAAAAATTATTTCTTTAATTATTTAGGCTTCTTATGAAAAACTTTATGCTCGTTTATTTCCAGCTGTACTTGAACTTTCCTGTGATTCTGATACTGTAATGACGAAAAAAAAAATATTTTTTTTTTGTTTGCTTAATTTAATTGAAATTTTTTTGTAGTTTACAAAAACACTTTTTACTACATTTATGATTCAAATGATACATTGGTTTACTAAAAATCACAATTATGAAAATCCTGAAACAATGTCAATGCTTGATACATTTATGGTTTGAAATTTATTTTTGTTCATTATTGATTACAAAAAATTTATTAATTTTCTTTTGTTTTTTTCTTATAGGATGGTATGATATCCGGACGTAATGCATCCATACGTGATTTTAGTGGTGTTTGTTTAAAAGAATTTCTTAAATGGGCTGTTAAACATGCTGGTGGTTTTGATAAACCTGCTTATTTAAAAAATGCAACATCAATTCTTAAACGTATTATTAGTTTTTCAATGCATCCAAATAGTTTTAAAAGACTTGGTTCAACATTAGCATGGAATTCAATTTATACACTATATCGGTATATTAAAAATTTTTGTTTTAATTAATTTGAAATAAAATTTTATTAATTATATTTTAGTGAATCAGAAACATTAATAGATGTTTATACACTTCAATTACTTTATGTATTTGTTGAAAGTTTAGCTATTGCTCAAGGAGATGATTCATCTCTTGGTAAAATTTATAATTGATTTCATTTATTTGATTTATTTACTTGATTTTATAGGTACTCAACAGCAAGCAATAGGTGCTTTATCACATGTACAAAGAATCATAAAAGAAAAATCCCAAGTATTTATTAAAGAAACATCTAAACGACATCGTCCACCGTAAGATATTTGTTTTTCTTCTTTGGAGATTTTTTATTTTTAAAGAAAATATTTTATTTAGATCATGGACTGATGCAACACTTGATGTTGCTGTTCGATGGTTACTTCGACAATGTGGAAGAATTGAAACTGAAGCAAGACGAAAATGTATTGAACTTGTTTGTACATTTATTCCATTATTACCAGGTAATACAAAAAAGAAAAATTTTTCTTTTAAAGAAATTAATTTAATTTATTTGTCTGTTTTTTTTTAAAGGAATTCGATCGATTAGAGAATATTTTGAATTAAAAGTAAAATCAGATGGAAATGCTTATTTTATTGAACGGTAAAAAAAACAAAATGTTAAAGAAAAATTTTTATAATCTTATTTGAAATTATTCTTTTATTTTTCTAGATTTGAAGGAACATTAAGTAAAGAAAAGAAAACAAAATTTAAAGCTAATTTAGCTAATCAAATATGTTTAACTGATATGAGTGAACAATTTTCAGTTGCAATAGTTTATCAATGGCTTGATACTGTTATTGCTTCATTAGATTGTTATACTTGGGTATTTTCACAAGGTTTTCTTAATCCTGTTCTATTTCAAGGTAAGTTTTTAACAATAGATTAATCTTAAACATCTAATAATCAATTATTTAATCATTGAATTAATCAAATAATTAACATAATAAAATTATTAAATATTTTGAAATTAATTCCTATAACGAATCAATATAATATATCATAGAATCTAATTATTTAGTTAATAAATATAACTGAACTAGTTAATTAATTAATTAATTAATAATATAAAACAATTTCATATTATTGAAAATTATTCTATTATTTTTAGACAACAATCAACAAAGTCGTTTAATTATTGCATTATCATATTTTATACCAAAAATTTCAATGAATACATTGTATGATATAGTTAATTATTTTCCATCATCGAATCAAACACATGTATTTACACCGACTGATATTAGTCAATTTGATACGTAAATGAAGATAAAAAAATTTGATTATAATTTAAGTTTTTTTAATTTTATATGTCAATTTTGTTTTAGAGCGAAATGTACAGTTATTGTTCGTTTATTGAATTTTATTACAGCACTTTGGTCTAAATATCCACAAGATACAATGCGAGCTATTGATAATTCATTTTATAATAATGATTTAACAAAATTAATTTTAACTTGTGTATTTAATCCAACACAATTAGGATTTGATATAAATAATGAAGAAATTAATAAGAAATTACCTGAAAGAGTATGTTAGAACAAAATTTATTATTTAATTATTTAATTCGAAATTTAATAAAATAAATATTTAGATTCTTATTTTACTTAAATCAATGACAACTCATCTACCTGATAAATTATTACAATCATTCTATGATATTGCATTAGAAATGACAAAAACTGATGGGTATGTATAGATGTAATATTATATTCGATGATATTCACACGATAGATTTTTCTACAATGAACTCCATAGAGAAAATTCAAAGATTTCGGCTTGAGAAAATTTATCAACAATCATCAAAACTGTACCGAAAATCAGTTAGAGAGAGAGACAGAGAGAGAGTACAAAAAAGATCGGGAGATTTAATTTGTATCTCATATGACTAGATCGAATTCAAAGAATTATCGAGAATAGAATATTCGGACAATCGTAAACGAAAAAAATATTTTTGTTTTCATATATAATTAATCTTAAAATATTCGCATAATAATTTAAGACTTTACAATTTAACCAAAGAATTAAATCAAAATCCAATTCATTGGGCATTAATATTTACTATAACTCGTGGACATCGTCTCTTACATGATGTTCGATTACTACCTAAACCTGATGAACCTGAAGAATATGCAAAAGAATTATGGACAACAATGCTATCGGTATTGATTTTCTTTTTTTTTTGGATTATAATTAAAATTTTTAATTTATGTGTGTATTTTGTATTTACAGAAAATGATTAATCATGAAGAAGATTTCGATAAAGCAAATTTTGTTTTAACTGTCGATACTCAACGTGGTTTACAATCTCTATTGGATTATATTATTTACTTAGGCATTAAGGTAAAGTAAAATATTCTTCCTGGTTTTTTTTTAATGTATAGAGTATACCCATAAAATCAAAACTATACATTTTCACTGCGATTAAACTAGATCAAGTAGATTTATTTTTTTTTGGGGAATAGAGAAGACTTGCAAGTTTTTATTCGTAAAATTAAAGTTTATAAATATTTTTAAGGGAGTCTTCTATTGTATCTGGGTTGTCGAAATTTTTGAAGAGTATGAGTGGCTGAAAATTTGACAGCAAAATACTTTGATTCTCGAAGTGTCAGCAGTGGTGACCGGAGTAGTAGGAGAACGAAACACATTTTGATCTGATTCCTAGTCCAATCCTATTCCACTTGCAACGATGTTATCTGGTTATTTTTGTTTCGCTTCCTAGCAGAGAAAAGTAAATGGTATTTTAAAATTCGATTTCCATCCAAAGTTATCACAAAGCCTAATCTTGATTACGTTCAGCATATCATTCCTTTAAGAGAGTCTTCTATTGCAGCAAAGAGTTTATTTATAAACCTGTAAGTCTCCTGTATTATCAGAAATAAAATTCACTTAATTTGATTTAATTATAATTTTCTTTTTGTTAATTAACTTTTCAAATAGTTTGCATAATTTCTTTCTTTATAGCCTAATCAAGTTTTACCATATTTTTTTCAATCAAATCGTATACATACAGATTCTGGTATGACAACAATTGGTACATATTTATTAACATTATTTAAACATCAAGTAACAAGTTGGCTTGGTATAACACCACATTTTATAATTGATAATGTTGGTGGAATAAATTCTGTTGAACAATGTCGTCCAATTGTTGCATTTTTAAGTACTGTTCTTGATTTATGTAGTCGTGAAAAAGATATTCGTCAACATTATGGTTCACAATTTATTTATGGTATATATACATGTTGGCCACAATTTTCTTCACTTTATTATTCAACAAATATTGATGATAAATTATTAATTGTAACATTATTAACAAAAACATTTATAATTGATAGTCATCAATTAATATTACATGAACAATTTGATAATATATCACAAATGTATTTATTATTATTAATTGATAAACAATTAAATTTAACATTTAAAATACGTTTACTTGATTTATTAGCATTTTTTGCATCAATTGATACAGATGAAAATTTAAATGAAGATAAACGTCAAAAATGGTCAAATGATCTTTGTCGTACATTAAGACAATTTACAGCTGATTGTTTTCCATTAAAAAGTACAGAATTTTCCATAGGTACACAAGAATATCATGAATATCAAGCAGCTATAAGAAAAATTCTTTCAGCACTTGAATTATCATCATCATTTATATTATTTGAATTATTAATATGGATGTTATGTTGTGAACAACATCATATATTTGAAGAAGAAATTTTATTATCAATAAGTCGTTATGTTATTAATTTAAATAATCATATTAAACAATCAAATTTACTTGATTATATTTATTCAATAATATATGGTAAAAATTCATTATTTCGTACTGAACATCGTTTAAATGCATTAGAAAAATTAATATTAAAAATTTTAACATCTGTACGTAAAATAACATTAATTGAATTTTATAAAAAATATATATGTACATTAGTTATTGATGAACTTGATGCTAAACTTGATTTAACATCACAAACATTAATATCAATGTTAATAAATAAAGTTTGTACATATCGTTTAGTTGATCATATGTATACAATATTAAATAAAGATGATATATTTGGTATAAATTCTTCTATTGCAAAAGTTTTTTATGAACATTTAAAAAAACAAGAAGAAGCACGAAAATTTTTAAATGTTGAAATACCAATAACAGCTATTAAATTTGGACAAACATTTGATGGTAAAGAATTAACTAAACATATTATTACACGTGCACGTGCACAATTTGTTGATGGAAGATTAATGAAATCTATGGATGTTATGTTAGCTGGAATAAATACAAATGAAAAACAAATTAAATTACATTTAACACGTTCATTAGCAACAGGTTCATTTAATTGTCTTATTTCATTACTTATTTGTACACAAACAGAAGCTAAACTTTATAAAGCTTTTATTTTTGATGCTAATCCAGCTAAGGTAAAATCATATGTTTCAAAGAGAATAAACTATGTACGCAAATAGAACTTTGACTTAGTGTTCGAGATAGTGGTAATTGAAGGTTCGATTAAGAGACTTTCATAAAGAATTTCCTACTTAGAATTATATGAGATATTCAAATATAAAGGAGAACTCATAAAATGGTGTCCTGCAATTCGGCTGGACGCCCGAGACATGATCTTGTACCTGAATCTTACCTGGCAATTACTGTTGGCTATATTCAAAAAAAAGAAGCCATATATATTCTCCAAAAAAGGAGACTTCGGTATGATAAAAACTCAATTTCGATGTTTTCATCAAAAATAAAAATAAAACCACAGATTCTCTGACTGATAAATTGCTTTTGAGTCAAGACTATGTGCATTACGTAAATTTAAATAAGCTATGAATATCTTGAAAAGAATGCGTGCTCTTAGGTTATTCTCATTAAAACCTGTCTCTATGGAAAATTTCAAATCGAAATTCGAAAATCAATTTTTCTATAAATCACAGTACTCATTTAAAAAATACCATCAAAGTGTCTCAGTTGAGTATTCACAACTCATTTAGATCTACATACTACACACAGTCTTGACTCAAAAACTGATTTATCACTTGAAGAACTTTCCTCCTAAGATTTAGTCTTAATCGTAATTTACATAAAACCATATTTATTTTACAAAAATGTTTGTTTTATTTATATTTCAGGATGA